AAATCGACCCTTTCACCTGGGAGACGATCACTCCATACCGTAAAGCTTGGGGTGAGCATCACACGAGAAGATGTCAATATTTTCGAATTAGCCCGACTGCATACCGAGGCAGACAAGTGCCAACGCCGGAAAGACGCTGCCGCCGCCCCTCCCGCACTAGATGCAGCCCTCCACACGTGTAACATCTGTGGACGACCCTGCCGGTCCCGTATCGGCCTCTCGAGTCACCTCAGAGCTCACCAACGAAGGTGACGATATCCTTCATAATTCATATCATTGTATCATAGCTGGATGATCGCCATACTCGATTCCGAGTGACAACAAAGTAGTAGTAGTAGTAGTCTCTGATGGCCTGCCGCCTCGTCCCCCTGAATAAAAGCCCAGGATGTAGGCCTATAGGGTGGGGAAGTGCTGAGACGGATCACTGGAAAATGCATAATGGATGTGGTCGTTGATGATATGAGGGTAGCTGTAGGGAACCTGCAAGTGTGTGCTGGCCACCAGGTTGGGGGTGAAGCTTCATTCACGCCATGAGAAATGTATTTGAGCAACACGATTGTGAGGCAGTACTCCTGGTTGATGCTTCCAACGTATTCAACATAATCAACCGCAAGGCTACACTGCACAACATCAAGATCAAGTGTCCAAGCTTTGCAATGTATGTTGAAAAAACCTACAGGAACCCGGCAGACCTCTACTGTATATAACAAGCTTCAAGGTCCAAAGAGGAGATTCTACAATACAGACAGACAGACTGACTGACTCCCTCTTGTACATTGAGAAAAACACAAATAAAAGAAACATTAAAATAGAAAGAAAAATAAACACACACAAGGGTTGAAAAAAAAACAAATATTGACTCCTAAAAAAAACATAAAACACAACAAGCACAAAGCTGTCAACAGTGTGTGTGTGTGTGTGTGTGTGTGTGTGTGTGTGTGTGTGTGTTTGCTTGTTTACTCACCTGGGTAAACAGTACTAAAAATGTAAATAATGTGATGTGGACAAAACACCCGAGGCAATTTTGATATTAGATATATAAATGAGCTTGTGTGTGTGTGTGTGTTACTGCGTATGTATCCATGTGTATGTATCCATGTGTGTGTGTGTGTGTGTGTGTGTTACTGCGTATGTATCCATGTGTATGTATCCATGTGTGTGTGTGTGTGTGTGTGTGTGTATACAAAGAGGATTTTTCTATTTTTTCTGATATGAAGGTTTAAAAATATAATTCGTCCTGTGACGCAGTGAGGAAAAATACAGTTTGGGGGCCGAGGCTTCCAGAGTGCAGCCTCATCACCAGACTCCACGGGTCAACAGTTGTATGGGCGGCAACATGAAAGTTTCCAAGCAGAGAATTTTTAGTGTTGTCGTCGTTGTCCTAAATTAAGAGTATGTTGTTTTATTGATCGTTTCTCGCTGTTCGTCGACACACACACAGACTTTCCTCCACACTCACCACCAACTCCCAACTTTCCGTAACTTTCTTCACTCACAACTTTCATTACACCCGTGCTTTCTATTCCAGCTTTCTCCAATCTTCCTCCATAAATCTCAATATCCCTCACCACAAGTCGTTTATCACGCTCCAACTTTATCCACAAAACTGCTTTCTATTCTCGTTTTCATCAATTTCAACTCCCATCATCAAAACTTTCACTGTGCTAATCCTTTCTCTCACAGCTTTCTATATAACTGACCATAACTTTCATTGTCTTGGATGTCTGTGTGTATCCAGGACCTACAACTCCTGTGCTTTCACTGTTGTATTTCTTATCCAAGTTTTCAATCTAAATATTACCGAAACCTTCTGCCAAAACACACACACACACAGGTATATCTATTACTCGACCTGCATATAAGCACCAGTTTACAACCGGGCACTAACATACGACCCTGATATAAATGGCATTATATCAGGGTTGGTGGACGGCATCAGGACGCGATAGTAACAACACATCGTGAATTTGATAGTGCAGGTACATTTATTTCCGGGTTGGTTAAAGTTAAAGGGAGGAGAGCGAAATATATTACTGGATGAAAAGTATTGGTTCCGGGTTGTGTAAAGCGTCAAGACTATATGGAAATAAGATAACATAATACTTCATAGAATTTTTTCCCCTTTCTTCTGGGTTATGAAACGTATCGTGACCTGATGAAATATATAATGCGACCCTGAAGTATATTTTCTATTTCAAAACTCCAATTATTATTATTTTTTCAAGTTTTTATTCTCTCTGCTTCACTCTTTCTAGTATTAAAATTATCTCTATTATTCAGGTTTTATTACGTCTGAGAGAATGAGAAAGTCACCGTATTTTATCTCAGTTCTACAGGGCCCTCTTAAATGGCTCTATTTTCGTTTTGATTTGTCAGGAAGCCATTTTAACGTGGCCATCACTTTCTTAAACGAGAGAGAGAGAGAGAGAGAGAGAGAGAGAGAGCTTAAAACCCGCGTATATCAAAACAATTAACTATTTATTGGTCTCACGTTACCTGTTAAGGGAGCATTACTCAGGCACAATGCTAATCATCGCCTCACCCCTTACCGCCACAACTGACCTAAGTGATGGTGTTTTTTGTGTTTGTTTTAGTTCAGAGATTAAAACGTGGCGTGGCACTTATGTTTCGGCGTACACACACACACACACACACATAGGTGCTAGCTTTGAACTCCTCATACAAGACTGAAGTAATATAGACCGTGGCCCACCTGACTCTTAACCTCGCCAGCAGTTAGGCTTTTATGTGGCACAACAAGTCATGTCATTTTAAGGAAATTTTATCCAGCAAAAATTTTCTTCTGGGGAGAAGGTGAAGGAGGAAGAAAGAGGGAGAGAAGAATGAGGACGAGAAGGAAGAGGAGGAGCAAGAGCAGGAGGAAAGAGGAGGTGGAAAGGAGCGAAGGTGTGCATTATATACCCGCCTCTCTGTTATGTCGTTTAGGTTAGGTTATCAGGCTGAAGGGGGCGAGAGTTAGCATTGTACCGTGAGGCTCAAATTCGTCAGTGAGAGATAAACAATGGGTGGGACACCTCTGGGTTGGTCAGTATAGGGCGAGAACTGTGGCTTTCCATCACCCTTTGTTTGGTCGCAACAGCATCATGGGACAGAGTGGAGGATGGAGGGAAGGGGTAAGGGGTGTAGTGAAGGAGAGGGGTAAGTGGTGAGGGGGTGGTGGAGGCGGGGGGAAAGGGGTAAAAGGGTGGTGGGGTGGGGGTAAGGGGGTGGTGGGGGGGGTAAGGGATGGTGAAGATGGTGGGGAGGGGGTAAGGGGATGGTGAAGGAGGGGGAAAGGGGTAAGGGGGTTGGTGGAGGGGGATAAGGGAGGTTGAAGCTGAAAATGAAAGCCAAAAAATATATTAGCCCACGGACGTACATATTGTGAGGCGGGATAATGACAGATAACAGGGTGGTGACAGGTATTGGCGGGTGGGGGGAAAATTCTGAAAAGTTTGTTTACACCTGTCACATTACCTTACCTACGCGAGATGATTTTTTTTAAAGCTTTCATGTATAATGTTACCTGTATATCTATCATGTATTCTATCATGTCTTTATGTATTAATTTGTATCTTGAAAGGTTTTAAAATATTGATTTTTTTTCAATATTTATCATTTTAACACAAGTGGCATCGACTTTATAGACTGTCAAGTAAAAATCTGAATAACATCTTCTGTCACGATGAGCAACACCAGTTACAGTCACTATCACCAACACCAGTTACAGTCACTAAACTGTTTCGATTATAATCAGTGCAATCAGTAAATACGTGACGTAGGTCAGTGAGCGCCTCAGAGCCAAGACCACATGTGCTTTATTTAATTATTGGGGTTATGGCCCATTACGACGATGGCCAATGAGAACTGGGCAACATCAGGTGTGCGGCCTTTGAGGATTGTACCCGAAAATTATTGGAGGAAGTCAGTAAGCATTGGGGCCAATTAGGACTGGGATCCAGTTTGAATTTTTAGATCACGGTTGGTTGGAGACCTGTCAGAACTGGGGACCATTACACCAGTCACCTATCAGACACCAGTCAAGTTAATATCGTCGAACAAACTCTAAAAAGTCACTCTGTTCCCGGACTGTCATCAGAGTGGCTTACATTTGGTGACCTGTGTAAGTTATTGGTCTTCTTGGGCCCTGTACACCGACAAGTAATATTTTAGGTCAGGTGTCACGGTAGTTAGTGGTCATCACACACACGTGGTTATTGATTACCGTTAATGAGCGTCTCTGTGTCTGTCTGTATGGCTAACCTAACCAAACCTAACTTAAACACGCATATTTACGAGATAAATCACTACAGTGTAAGATATTTTGAGGATCCATCTCTAATTAAGGGGAAAATTGATGTAGGGGTCTTTAAAAATCCTGTGGCGGTGTGTGTGTGTGTGTGTGTGTAACTCTCGTCTCGGCCAAAAGCCAAATGAGCCGTAAAAAACATGGGGCGGTAGAGAAGACGATGTCAGTGTAGTTATGAGAGCTGCCCCAATTTACCAGGAAGGACCAATATTCTCTTTCCTGACGCTAAGGGGATCCTGTACCTCAATAATAATCTCTCTCTCTCTCTCTCTCTTACACACACACTCCCACTGCCTCGCTACTCCCCCATCTCCAGCTCTCACCACCAAGGCTCCAGCAGATGAACATTGACAGCCTGAAGACAGCTACTTAACTATTGCGTCCATCATCTCAAGAGGGAACCTTACTCAGATCTTGAAGGATATGACCGGCAATACCTTCTCTCACTAATAACAGGTAAGACCACACAGCCACAAAAAAGTGTTATTTCTTATGTTTCCAATATATCTGGGAATGTTATGTTGAGGTAAAGTCTCTGGCACCCACCCATCCCCTATAAGTCGCTTTATTATAGGTATACACATGATAGACAGGAAGTGTATTACCACCTACATTGGCGGGTATACACACACACACTGAGGTATACACGGAATATATATAGAGGATATACAAAAAGTATATTAACACCTACCTTGATAGGGACGCAGATGAGAATGAGGAGGAGGTCTGCAGAGGCGAGGGAAGCGAGGAACACATTGGTGGTGCTCTTCATGCCGCTGTACCTGCAAGACGGACACACCATGATATACTGTTACGTTAGAGGAGTGTACTACCATGATATACCTGTACAGTATCTCAAAAAAGTATCTGCCAGGATGGGTCCGATGACTTCCGAAATGCTACATGCAACTCATATGTCCCGGGGTGGTTGGTGTGTGTGGCTCTGTGGCATAATGATTCTGCTACATTTGATAACCGAACATCATATTAATTACGCCGAAATACATACACATTGCATTACTTATGTTAAACTATATACAAAAGTAAATGCATGTCCCAATCAATATCTATAATCCGTGGTCTCGTAATGTTTCACTGTGTGGACAAATACTTTGAAATACTGTACATAACCCACACATACACACATATATATATATATATATATATATATATATATATATATATATATATATATATATATATATATATATATATATATATATATATATATATAAAACTCCACCCATTCTTTCAAACACTTCCAACACACACACACGCACATATAACTCCACCCACCCACCCACACCCATGAACACCACCACATCTCGCCAACATGTCCCACCCAATTGCCTGGTGTTGTTACCCGTCATTTAGCCACAATTTATGGACCAATAGGAATGCCTTTGTGACCCCCCCTCTAAAGTTTGGCGCCGCATTCACTAAGGCTCGTAAGGTGATTATTTCTCGTAAATGAAGATGCAAAGTTACACGGAGACTCTACTTTAACTAGATACCTTCACTTATGCAGCGTAATTTCTAAAAAATCTTTAACCTAATATCTATCTGGTACACACTAAACATATCTACTCATAATACTCGAGTCACAGTACAATTTTGATGCCATTTTTGAAGGATACGTCATCCAGTTAGGCGTGTTTTTACTGCATCATTTACAGGGTACTGAAGTCTCATTCAGAATTTACTTTCACAGTTAAAACAGAAACTCATAAAAAATTAAGTTTTAATTAGAGTAAGACAACACAAGGCCATTCAGGACAAATGTTAGTGTCACTTACTGTACACGTGTAATGTTTATTGTTATTTTAACTGTTAGTAAACGGGGTCAGGTGTAGGTGTGTGTGTGTGTGTCTGTGTAACACTATGTTTCTCCAATACTGAGAGAAGCAAGAATTTCAACCCTTTGATGTTTTACCGATAGTTGAAGACTGCCAGGGTGGTGGGACTTGTTGCAGTCCTGTACATACACACACACACACACACACACACACACACACACACACACACACATACACACACACACACACACACACACACACACACACTAGGAAAAGAAGGATATATCAACCATAACTTTTAACTTGCCACAAATTTTCACAACAGTTCAGAACGCATCATTATCCGCATTAATTAAAGAAAATGATGACAGACGAGGATATGACTTACACAATTTCACCGCCCACAAGAATGTACAGTTTTCCCTGCGTGCTGGTGAATACAAACGACCCTCAAACAACTTACTGCTCATGCTGTTTAATACACCAAGGGAAATATTATGTAAATGAGCAATATTCGTCTTAATACAAGTGCTCATTATTTCCTATTAATTCCAGCTAGTACTAAACTTCATCAGGGTAACAAACGAATCTCATGTTTTCATATTAAAGGCTCATTTGAAATAGCTTTTTTTTCCTCGGCAATTACTGTCCGTCAACATCTCATTTCATTCCATATTTGGTACATTTTTTTTAGTTAAAATGTTATGGACGAGGATATTGCTCTTTTGACCACGTTACTGAATGTCGTTCCCAATTCAGGTTTGTTTAGGAAGTCAATTTGTGAAGAGAAACAAGACTAAGGATTGGTCAGGGCCATATTCACCCGCCCAGGGAAAAGCGCGCTCCGAGTTGACTGAACGCGGCTAGATACAGTATGCGTGAGAGAGGAGAGAGAGGTGAGGGTGGTGAGGGAGGAGAGAGGTGAGGGTGGTGAGGGAGGAGAGAGGTGAGGGTGGTGAGGGAGGAGAGAGGTGAGGGTGGTGAGGGAGAGAAGTGAGGGTGGTGAGGGAGGAGAGAGGTGAGGGTGGTGAGGGAGGAGAGAGGTGAGGGTGGTGAGGGAGGAGAGAGGTGAGGGTGGTGGCCTGAGGTTTTGTTTTACCCACACACCAAGTTTGATTAATTATCTTAATAACTGAGAAGTCATGTTGGTAAAGTTGAACATGTACACACACACACACACACACACACACACTATTATCTTCCATTACAGTTAAAAAGACGGACTAAATTGACTTGCCGAGCGACATGAGGTCCAAAATTAACTGATAAATAAACGAGAGAGAGAGAGAGAGAGACTTTCACCTACCTTACCACCAGTTTTCCTCCATTCTATGCCTTCCCTCTTTTTCTTCTCACCTCCTCTCCCTCCCATCTCTCCCCCTCTTCTCTCATCCATTCCAATGCCTTTCCTTCTACCCTCTTTCCTCTCCTTTCATACCTTCCCCTCTCCCTCCCTCACCCTCCTCTCCATTCATAATCCTTTCCTTCGTTCTCCTAGATCAAGTCTTGACACTTATTGGGCGCCATATTGAGGGAGTCGGTGAGGGGGCGGACGGGGCTGAGAACTATCAAAATTCCCGTCTACGAGACTATGGTGCGGTCTGATTGGTCAATAACCTATGACGTACGTTGATTGGTCTATAATAATCTGTGATGTGCGTTGATTGGTCAAGAAGAATCTGATGTGCGCTGATTGGTCCGTAACCTATGACGTTTTCAATCCCAGACCACACAGACCACCAGGCGTCCCTCCTCAACACGCTGACACACACGGTGGTATAATGACTTCTTCAAACATGACAGTACCGCCACACCTGACAGTCTACACTGCCACCGTCTATCTACACTGCCACCATCTGTCTACACTACCTCCGTCTGTCTATCTGTCATCCAACAAGATTGCTGAACAGGTCACGAGATCGGCTGTGATTTCAGTTTATATTTTTTTGTCGTATATAAATCGATGGAGATGTTCGTGTACACAGATCACACTATTTTTTTTTTCAATAAATATCTCTTGATCTGTGGTTGTGTTATTTTGACTTCGGTTTAACGTTATTTCCTATTGTCCTTAAACGTGTGGCTATTACAACCACTATAACAACGTTTGTTATGAATGGCTGAAAATACGACTATTAAACTAACCCTAAAAATTGATGCAAATAGAGTTGGTTGTGTCCGTATGTGTGTAAAAGTGTCTTCAGTTTAAAGTTTGGGAAACTGTTCGAAAACGTAGTCACGACGTCGGTTTCAAGTTAACCCGCCTAGAATCTCCTTACGAGCGGCTGTGTTCAGAAGCTTGAGTGGTTGTTGACTAATGAGGACGCTGTCAGCCTTAAGAAAATCACTTAACGTCAGACACAAGTTTTAATAGGATGACACCTGGTGCCTCCTACACCATCCTTCACTCCATTACCCTTAATACTCCTACACCATCCTTCACTCCCTCACCCTTATTACTCCTACACCATCCTTCACTCCCTCACCCTTAATACTCCTACACCATCCTTCACTCCCTCACCCTTATTACTCCTACACCATCCTTCACTCCCTCACCCTTATTACTCCTACACCATCCTTCACTCCCTCACCCTTATTACTCCTACACCATCCTTCACTCCCTCACCCTTATTACTCCTACACCATCCTTCAACCCCCCCCATTACCTCACCCAAATTACAATACTACAATGCCTAAAATATCACCAATTAAATGATTCTGTATTTTAGTTGTATTACTTTATACTTCAATGTGTACGACTTGTATTACTAGATTTATGTAACAAAATGTATACGATTTACGGCAAGTTAACCCAGATGACCTGCCTGAGAAAGGTGTTGTGTGTACCCCAGCAGGAACTATCTGAAGGTGTTGTGTGTACCCCAGCAGGAACTATCTGAAGGTGTTGTGTGTACCCCAGCAGGAACTATCTGAAGGTGTTGTGTGTACCCCAGCAAGAACTCTCTGAGGAAGGTGCTGATAGGAGTACCTACCTCACAATGGTGTAGATAATGAGGCTGTTGCCAAGTACCCCCAGCATGAGAGTCATCACGTAGACGGTGAGGGGCGGCAACAACTCGTCCCAGTAGTAGGTACTCAGCGACTCATTGAAGTCGTAGTCATAGTCGTCCTCGTGCTGCAGGGGAGGGAAGGTGCCGTTATGGAGGGCGTCTAGATACTGATGGGTAGTGCCGCTCTCCCCCGTCGCCCCGAGTCGGCCCCCCACACCTGTGCTCTCTGGGTTCATTAGTGGAGGCATTGTGTTGATATTTCTTGGCTGGTCCAACCTGCGTGTCCTTTATCTCTCTCGATACAAACGTTTTTCTCCGTCACTGTAAATCTGCCGCCTCGTGTGGATAAATTAAGAAATTATTCTCCAAGTTTTCCATGTTGTATTTTTATTTATTAAGTCACTATAAATAATGTAGGTATTCTGGTCTGGTTAGTTAGTTCATTAATTTGTGGTTCTCGCTGTTTTCACTTTGTAATAATTGTTCGGGTGTATTATATTATGTTTCAAACTTACATTTTGGTTAAGTTAGTTGAACAATTTCTTACTCTCAACTTTTGTCTTAATTTGGTTCTCGTTTTTTGTATTTTCCTGCCTTTTTACGAGCAATGAAAACTCTTATTTTCCCTTTCATATAAATACTCCATTTTCTTTATCCGCAATGAAATATATAAAGTTGTTGTCACCATAAATAAGACAGTCACCTTCACCAACGCTATTAACACTTCGGTTACCTGCACGACGCTGGTCTCTCCCTCACCACACAAAAACCTTTTATCCTTATTACTTAGAAAATTCTTATAAACTTTGTATTATTAATATAATAAAATTCAGTTTTGTTCCTTGGTAATCCACAAAAATGTTCCAACTGTTTTCTTGCAACAACACGTCTTTACTCAGACCTCCAACACAAATGGAAAGGATCCTCTTGGGTCTCAACTTGACGCCAATATCGAGCATCGACAACCCACTGACCTCAAGATGTAAACACAGGATGGAAGTGGCGAGCTTCTCAAGACTATCCTATGTGGAGGTGTGAGAAGAATGTTCCGCCATAGTCGTATCAAATTATTTTTCGTAGTTTATGGAAAAATGACCAGTTGGCGTCAAAATCCTGTCTTCTTGTGATTCAGTTGAATTATCATAAACAGTTAAGTTACTTTTATGTTCACATTACTTAGTAACTCTTGTAAATTATCATTATCTTCAAGCTTCAACTATTTCTGATCAAGTTCACAGACAAATATATCAGTTGTATATAATAAATACACATGATAATATACTCCTTCTCTTATTGAAAACATTGTTGTTTTATAGTTTTCTTGAGTATTTTGACATTGAAACAGTACTGACACGATTAATCTTACAATAACTTAACCACTAGAAGAATCAGCTCATATATACATAAGCACATTTTTTTATTGTGCTTAAACTCCAGTAAAGATTCCAAACATCATTTTCTTTATGCCTTGTTTTTTTAATTCCGAGCTCTCTTTTCCTGTGCTTAGTTCCGAGTTCAAATGTTCAACACACAGTTTTATATGTCTATATCCTTGTTAAGATTCCACATTCCGCTTTGCATTAGTTCTACGTAAAGTTAAACTCACTGCTCTCAAAAGTTTATTATTCTTTACGAACGAATCATTTTATTCCCGTTTTCTATACATCATAACAACTCGGTAAGAAAACTATACACACCAGATGAGGAGATTAATGAAAGATATAGTGTCTTCTTTTCTTTTTTTTTCAGAGCAGCGAGTTCACAACACCCTTTTAATCTCAGAAGTCTATTCTGATTTTTTCCCGCGAACTTTGTGATTTGTTATTAAACCGCATGTGTGTGTGTGCTCAAGACCAATAACAAGCCAGTGTGTTGTTAGACTTATCCTAGAGGGCTTTTGGTCATCTATACACCATAAATTCTGTACTTTTAAAGGACAACACACTGCAAATTCTGATTTTTAAACGGGTTCTAATAATTTATTTTCGTCTATAATTCCGAGATGTTTTCTAATAAATTTCTTCCACTTCCTTTATTTTATTGCTTCCTGTTCTCTCTGATTACAGTGTTATATTTAGTCCTTTAGGTGTTTGTTTTCTAATTGAGTCTCCCATTAAGTTCACTGATCTTCTGTTTTCTGATTTTGCTTCCGTTTTCTTCTTGTTGTTCACGGTGACTCTTATTTACATTAGCGAGGTGACCTCACGGCAAGACCTCTGAAAAGATACAGAAAATAGTTACAGAATATTAATGAATTAGGATTAGTATTACTCTCCCTCTCCTCCTCCTACCTTTACCCTTCTCCCTCTCGTCTTTCTTTTACCCTCATTACTTTTACTCTCCTCTTCTTCCTACATTTATCCTTCTTCCTCGCCTCTTTCTTTTATCCCGATTACTCTCACTGTCCTCCTCCTATTCTCCCTACCTTTACCGTTCTCCTCCCTTCATCCTTCCCTCTTTCTTTTACCCTTATTTCCCCCCCCCCCCAGCCCCCTATATCCTTCTTTCTCTCTTCGCCCTCTCCCTCACCTCTTTCTTTAATCCTTATTACTCTCCCTCTCCTTATTTTCCTCCTGTTCGTAAGATGACAAGCAGCCTTTTGACTCGTAAATGCGTGAGGGTCTGGGGGGAGCCAACCTGAGCTTCATTTTAAGTGTACAGGTAGAAGAGTTAATGGTGAGACTGAAAGAGGGAAGGACGGAGGGTGAGTTAAAGAAAGAAGGGAAAGTGAAAGAAGGAAGTTAGAAGAATGAAAGGAGGGAGAAAGGAGGGAAAGTGAAAGAAAGGAGGCGTGTGGGAATGAAGAAAGAGAGAGAGAGAGAGATAATGAAATGACACACACACACACACACACACACACACACACACACAGACAAAGCAAAAACACGTGAGTGAAGAGAGGCGGGGGAGGAGAGTGACATCAAGTGGGAAGGAGAGAGGGAGGTGACAGGGGATGACGAACAGGCAAATGAAGTGAGAGGAATGAAGGGAAGGGAGAGACAAAGGAGAGGTGAGAGAATAATGGCTGGGGGTGAGAGACAATTATCCATTATCACAAGTCAAGGTGTGTTTGAGAGGCAGCCAACCCGAGAACTGTGTTGAGACTGTTACACATACACTCACCCCGGGTACACATACACTCACCCCGGGTACACATACACTCACCCCGGGTACACATACACTCATCCCGGGTACACATACACTCACCCCGGGTACACATACACTCACCCCGGGTACACATACACTCACCCCGGGTACACATACACTCACCCCGGGTACACATACACTCACCCCGGGTACACATACACTCACCCCGGGTACACATACTCTCCCATGACTTTCACTTGTAACATCAACGACAAAAGATCAACTAAATGATCTACAAAGTACAAGTTGTCTGTATTTATATAATATCTCAGTCGTCGGTGTTTTTGGACCAGATGGTGTGTCGAGGATACTTGAAGACAGTGACATGGGCAGGTCAGTGGTCAGGTCACTTATAGGTTGTGAATGTATATTTTGACCTGTTTGTTCATCACATCAGCCTCGTGTTTGACCGTGTCTAGACCAGACAAAGAACCAACACGTGTTCTCGGTGGTGGTGATGTTTTCACGGGAGATTTCAACATTTTCTTGATTATGTTTAGTAGAAAAATATTAATTGCAGCTGCGACATGAACAGTGTCAAAGGCTTCACGCTGAAGACTCATGGTAAGTTGAGCAACAATGTTTAGAAATATATTTTAAAAAGTTACAACTCAAAGCTGACATGTCATAGTTAGTGAAACAAGCCGAGCGATTTTCCTCTGGGTTTTGCATCAAAACTGTTGTGTAACATGTTGTCCATGCTACCTACAATAACACTAAAGAACTTGAGTAGAACATTGTATGTGCTGCAGCAGTGAGTCTCATAGAAACGTTGAGACTTGATGACGTGTTCCTCGGTCACCTAAACTACAGTAGACTCGGTATCTTCTCTAGGCGTCACTTACAGCTGTTACAACAACATGTCAATCACCGGCAGGAATGACGAGTCCTTCAAAACATCCATCAAGCTCAGCTCAAACCGGTGAACCAAAAGTCAGTCTATTCCTGACTTTTGCTGAGTTGCCAGACTTTTTCAACGACTGGGGGGAGGGAGAGTTGCCTTGCCCAGGACTCAAGACTTTTCATTCGGTCTTTTTGATTGTCTAAAACCCCTAACCTGTAAACAGGAGGGTGTCACTGGATCAGTTTTGCGGCAAGACAATAGTGAAGTGACCAACATCAAGTTTACATGGTGAAAATAGTGATACGCAATGGTTAGTAATCACTGTCAGTTTCCATTAACAATTACGTACATTTTATCTCACATATTACGATATAAACTCGGTTATTTTACTCTGGGAACATTTATTACACAATTTAACAAATTCACCGACACTTGCTACACATACTGTACACTGACACTTGATACACATATACTGACACTTGATACACATACACTGACACTTGCTACACATACACTGACACTTGCTACACATACACTGACACTTGATACACATATACTGACACTTGCTACACATACACTGACACTTGCTACACATACACTGACACTTGCTACACATACACTGACACTTGATACACATACACTGACACTTGATACACATATACTGACACTTGATACACATACACTGACACTTGCTACACATACACTGACACTTGCTACACATACACTGACACTTGCTACACATACACTGACACTTGCTACACATACACCGACACTTGCTACACATACACTGACACTTGATACACATACACTGACACTTGCTACACATACACTGACACTTGCTACACATACACTGACACTTGCTACACATACACTGACACTTGATACACATACACTGACACTTAACCTCGTTCTCTCAACCTTCGTGTTATCATATTTCCCAAACATTACTGAACCAATGACTCCAAGTGTACTATACCTACACTATCACTTGACCACCGAGTTGCATCACACCCTTTACTACAGTACCAGTCCCCGTAAAAGGCCCAGATATCAGAAGACTCAGAACTGCGACAGGAACCAATTTTGGGCCAACTGGGCGGCTGACTCCAGCCTCTTACAGAGGAACATTTGTTTGATCTTGAGAAATTGGTCGTCCTCGTGGGAATGGAAGATGTGTGTTTCTCTCATCATCACATGTAAATCAGTTCCAAGAAGGTGGAGGGAGGGAGGGAGGGAGGGGGTCCAGGGAACGTTCGAGAGTTGAAGGGTTGAAGGTTGAAGAGTTGAAGGGTTTAAGGGAGGGAGAGTTGGGGGGTTGAGCGAAGGGAGGGACAGAGGGAGAATTGAAGAGAGAAGGTGATAGATCATAATACATAATCATATAAAAGATATCTCTCTCTCTCTCTCTCTTTCCTCCCGTCCGCCCGTTCTTCGTTACGACCGTCCGCCTCAAGGTGTGTCAGGAATACAGTGTTAAGTGAGCCACCTTCAGCCTCACAATAGTGCCAATCAGTGCCACACACGTCACCGATCCTGTGAGGACCAGGAGGAGAGTAGGTCATGACTCGCGGGGTGGAGGAAGGAAGGAGGGAATAGAGAGGAGAGAGGAAAGGAAAATTAACTCGAATGAAGAGATGTGAAGGAGACGTGGATACAGGGTAATAAAAGAAGGCAGAAGATTAGTAGTAAAGAATAGGAGAGGAAGAGGAGAAAGGGAATGGGTGAGAAGGAAAGGGTGAGAAAGGAAAGGCAAGGAAAATGTATTAGATGAAATAATTATCCCCCCCCAACACACACCACCACAACCTCCCCCAACACACACCACCACAACCTCCCCCAACACACCACCACAACCTCCCCCCCAACACACACCACCACAACCTCCCAACACACACCACACCACAACCTCCCCAACACACACCACCACAACCCCCAACACACACACACCACAACCTCCCCCAACACACACACCACCACAACCTCCCCAACACACACACCACCACAACCCCCAACACACACCACCACAACCTCCCAACACACACACACACCACAACCTCCCCCCAACACACACCACCACAACCTCCCAACACACACCACCACAACCTCCCCCCAACACACACACACCATTAACCCTCCCCCAACACACACCACCACAACCTCCCCCCAACACACACACCACCACAACCTCCCCACACACCACCACAACCCCCCAACACACACCACCACAACCTCCCCCCCAACACACACACCACCACAACCTCCCCCAACACACACACACCACAACCTCCTAACACACACACACCACCTCCCAACACACACTAACACACACATGACACACACACACCACCACCACGACTTTCCACGCGCAAATAAAAATCCCTTCCGACCATTTCGACATAAACGAATTATCACAAAATAGTGCTAGACAAATTGATACAAATTACGAGAAAAATTAATTAAAAACATATTCCCGGGTTCAAACTTGATCTAAAAACTATTCCAATATTTTTTCCACAAATAATAAAACAAATACAAAATACAAAATAGAGACAAACGAATAAAATTTAATAAAAACGATAAAAATCAAGAAAAAATATTTATATTAAAGGAAAATCTAATAATAAAGACGAAAAGGCCAGTGATAAAGGTTCAACACTTTACCTTAATTAACTCTACGTTGATGCAGGTGTGATCTACTTATCGCTTCATAAACTCTCTACCTAAAACCTGTAATTAATTTTGTTTACCTGACGACACTGTTTGCTAGGGAAGGCTTTATGTACTGTACGGTAGGTACACTTTTTGTCAATACTCCCTTGACACTTGACAATGTGTGTGTGTGTGTGTGTGTGTGTGTGTGTGTGTGTGTGTGTATGTGTGTATGTATGTGTGTGTGTGTGTGTGTGTGTGTGTGTGTGTGTGTGTGTGTGTGTGTATGTATGTGTGTGTGTGTGTGTGTGTGTGTATGTGTGTATGTGTGTGTGTGTGTGTGTGTGTGTGTGTGTGTATGTGTGTGCTACATCATGGGTCAGGCAGGAAGGGCCACATAAGGTCATTACTACAGCAGCTACTTCATCAAAGTTTGGTCGAGACAATTACAAAGACGCCTACCACTTCTCATGTGAAAGTGTCGATAATTGGATTCTGGCTAAATGTCTCTCTCTCTCTCTCTCTCTCTCTCTCTCTCTCTCTCTCTACATATCATTCAAACATTCATTAATATTA